TATATATTTTTAAAATAATCCACTATACCCACAATCCCACTGTACTTTGCACCTCTTTCTGCTGCTCATACTAAAGCTTCCTCTCTCCTTATTCAAAGCTGCTCAAGAAGTGCTTTTCCTGCATCTTTCAACAACAACAACAAGTCTATCTATATTTATCTGCAGAAAGCAAGTGACTGTGCAGTACTTTTCTGGACACCCTACACAGCTCTGCTAGTGCCCCTAAAGCACACACAAGTTCAGAAAAATCCAACTATTTAAGTTTCATACCCACTGCCTCCAGATCATTTTGACCAAGTCGCTTGGTTTCTCCTTTTGCAAGGACAGAAGCTACAATGCTGTCCTCCTTGCAAGGAGAACGAGCAGGTATTATTAAACAAGCATGGAGATCCTCAGGTCAAAGAGAGGAAAGCCCTCAGGACACATCATGTCTCACAGGGCACTGCTGGCACTAGACTGAACATCGGTTCCCTGAAGCAGGCCTCAGTCCTTTCTATGCACCTACTAGTGTCTGACAGACTCTTTGCTCTATGCTAATGTTTACCTGCACTGCTCATGTTACTGGATTTCAGCACGGGTGGTGGTGTGACATGGTTGGCAATGGCTGTGGAAGAAGGGGGAGGTATAGGAGGGACTGCAATTTTGCCTCCTGGTGGGGGTGGCAGCAGGCTTAGGCCCCCTGATCCAGACACACGGGGCTTGGCTGCTCCTCCTTTCTTTGTCGTCATGTTCTGTATAAAAAGAAAGGACAAATGAGGAATAGTATCCATTGGCATATCCAGAGAAAGAAGGAGGGTAAACTGGGCTGCTTACCCCAATGTTCAGTTTGATGGTCTGCCCTTCCTTAAACCCTAAGTCTAGTTTGGGACGTGTGTCGGCTTCCTGGGACTCCTTGGAGATCTCAGTCTCCTGCTTCACCCACCTAAAAAGAAGAGAGGAAGACGTAAAACCCTGTGGCAAAGGGGAACAGAGTTTCAGAAAAATGCATGGTTCTTCCCCCCACCCTGCCAAAGAACTACCTTGTCTTGACAAACCAGCTACCTCCCTACTCCCAGTGTAGTACAGCAAAAAGCTGGGACCACCACAAACCCAGGAGACTAACACTGCACCTGTAGCATCACAGGACCTAAGCTTAAGACTTACAGATCTGACCCTGCAGGACTCTCAGCTTGCATGACAGTTGGCAGTACACTCAAGTGTCCCTGATAGAGTCAGAGCAGGGCTTCATGACCATCCCAAGGAAACCTGTGCTAAATGAACATGCACCACCACCCGCCATGTTCTACAGGCCAGAGGAAAAACCGCACAACTCACTTGAAGTGATCCTGCAAAGAGACGTTGAAGTCAAAGGCATCACCACGATCCGTGAAGCCAATGCCTATAAAAGCACTTCGTCCTAGCAAGGAGACAGGAGGAGTCATTGGAGGTGCCCTGCCAATGGGCCCTTGTGTTCATTCACTCCAAAATCCTTCTGCTTCTCCTAAACCACTCTGTGCTACCTCCCTCTGACACACCTGCAGCTGGACACCAGCAGCTAACAGCAGTTCATTGCTCCTAGCCTTCAGGACGCACCCTTCTTCCCATGCGGCACTCTCAGAAACTGAACGTTCCTTCCCAGCCCCTGGACTCTGTGCAATGTAGAGAACCCTCCTTTGTTAACCTTGCCTTCCTACCCCTCCAGGCACACTACCCAGCCTGTTCAGCACTCCCAACACCATTTCAATCCACCTGGCATACACCTAGTTCCATCAGGCTGAGTCTCCTCCACCCCTAGCACTTGGAACATACATGACCCCTCAACTCACCAGTCCCATCCTGAATTCGAATGACAAAATAGCGGCTGGAATCCGTCACAGTCTCTACTGCAATGCCAGGGTATTGATCTATAGGAGCCTGGGCGAAGAGTTCTCCTGCAGACAAAGAATTGGGTGTTAAGGAGAGGAACCTCTTGCTAAAGCGTGTCCAGGGCTGCCATGCACAGCTCTGAGCAGGCTTAGAAGCACAGACTCATAAGCAGCAATCGTAGTTGCAGTCTTGCCAAGACACAGCTTTTCCCTTACCTGAAACCTTATCCTCCAGTTTTATGTATGCAGTTTTGCCTTTGGAGGTGACACGAAGCCGCCCTGTCCAGTCCGGATGGTCCAGTTTCCAGTCAGATGCCCTGATGAGAAAAGCAACTGTTCACTGATTGTACATCAGCCCCTCCACTTCTGCCCAAGCATCTCAGCCAAAGTCTCTGCTCCCAAACCTTCAACACGTGCAGCTGCCTTATTCCACTTCTCTCCCCAAACAATATATGATGTCTCAGCTCCTCTCCGTTGCTGCCAATTGACACACATGGCTCTGACTGACCTCTCTTTCCTCTGGACAAAGGGAAATTGATACAGTCCAGAGAACATCAACTCTGTCTTCACCTTTATAAGCTTGCAGAAGAGGGAAGACTGAAACCCAGAAACTCACTTGGAACAGTAAACCCAAAAGCGACTAATAAGTGACTTGTGAGCATTAGGAAGACCCCCAAAATTAATTAATAGCATGCTGAAAAGCCACTCCATTATTCTACCCTGTTGATGTAAAATAATATGAAGTACCTCTGAACCTAGAGCCAGCTAGCTTACACTAGGTAAAACATCATACACACAGCCATCCTGACTAGCCCATCAAACTCTTTGCTACAGACTGTTGTGAAGGGGCGCTGGGGAAGAGAGAGAGAAAACAAACCCCAACCTACAGGATTCTACAACTGGAAACAAACACCTGCAGCATCCACAGCAACAACAGTTTGCCAAGTTCACCGAGTACCACTGACACCCATCAGTGCTTCAGAGCACAAACCTGTTTCTCCTGAAAGTCTGTGGGCACAGCTTACAAAGTCACACTCCACTGGTTTCGGCTAAAGAGAGAGCAGGTATTTCTAACTCCTGGTCCTGCAATCTCTTCTTAAGAATCATGCTGAACTCCTTCTGGCTTCCTCCCCGCTACTGCAAGAGCCAACAGGCCAAATTCAACATACCGTTATACCACATCAGACTCGCGCCCCAGAGGACCGGGCAAACTAGGAGCGGAGGTCAGCTCTGCCTGGAAGAGCAAGTTGCTCAGGTGCCCTCAACTCCTGCACATGATTGACAGAGCAGCCCCTGCTCCTCCACAGCACGGAGCGAAGGCTTTTAGGCACAGACCATC